ATTTATGATAAAAGAAAACTTAGCAAACTAGATATTGGGGGTAACTTCTTTACCTTGATAAAGGGCAATGTACAACAACCTATAACTAACATCATAATTGATGATGAAAAACTAAATGCTTCTCCTCTAATATTGAGAACAAGGCAAGTAATGTCCACTTTTTCCACTCAAATTGAACATTATACCGAAAGCCTTAACCAGTGCAAAAGATGAGGGGGAGAAGGAGGTGGGATGGATATAGATAGGGAAGGAAGAAATAAAATTTTTCTTTGTTAGATAGTATTATTGTCTATGTAGAAAATATCAAGAAATCTACAAAAACAAAACCTAAACTCCTAGCATTAATATATTTAACAAAGTTACAAGATACAAAAACCAACACACAAAAAAATCAATTTTATTTCTATAATAAACAGTTGGGAATGGAAAAGTTTTTAAAATGTTATTTCCAATAGCTTGAAAAAATGTGAAATACTTGTAAATTCAGCAACAAAACATATGCGAGGGTTGTAGTTGAAAACAACAAAACACTGATGCAACAATCAGAGAAGATCTAAATTAACAGGCATAATGGGTTCATGAATTAGAAGATTCAACATAGTAAAGATGTCAATTCTCCCAAAATTTATCTCTAGACTTAATGCATTTCCCATGATACTTCCAGAAAGATTTGTTTTTCTAGATTTAGTCAAGCTACTTCTAAAATTTATATGAAAAGGCCAAAAGACAAGAATAACCAAAACAATTTTTGAAAAGGAAGAATAACATTTTAGGAATCATACGACGTGATTTTTAAGACTTACTATGAAGTTATGGTAATCAAGATAGTGTGGGATTGGCTAAGGGGTAGACGGACTAATGGAATAGAGAGTCTAGAAATAGATTCACACAAACATAGCCAATTGATTTTTGGCAAATTTGCAAAATCAATTAAAGGATAGTCTCGTCAACAGATGGTGTTAGATCAATTGGACATCTACATGAAAAAAAAATGAACCTCAATCACTTTATACAAAAATTATCTCAAAATGGATCATATATTTAAATATAAAAAGTAAAACTATAAGATTTTTAAAGGAAACAGAAGAAAATCTTGGTTAGGTAGAGGGCTCACTCCCCCACTTTGTGTCTTTGAGATTCTTTCCACATGTGCCTCTGTTCAGTAGATAATTGATGTTTGACTTCAGTGAGGTAGTTCACACGACTTTATTGAGCACTTAACTCTGAGTCATGCATTGTTCAAATTCAATCCCTACAACACCCCTGAGACATAGGTACTACAGTATAACTATCTCATTTTTGAGATGAAGAAAGTGAAGCACAGAAAAATTACTAAAGATGCCTAGAGTAAATTCCATGAGCAGCAGAACACAAATGTCCTGGGCAGTCTCTTTTTAGACCTGTGCTGTTTGTTATCCATCACTCTGTTCTGACATTCTCATCATTCTTCTTGAAAACGCAGATCACTAATTTTCGGGGCTCCTGTGACGCAGGCCATCATCTACTTTTCTTTCTGTGTTGATTTTATTCACAGACCCACGTTTAGGGTGGTTGGTGGTTCTTTGCTGTTGAATCACAGCGCTGTGTTAACCTTCTTGAATCTATTTAGCGCCATCTTGTGTCTACAGTGGGTTTTACAGGAAGCTGTGCTTGAGCGTTAGGGTTAGGGGACAGAAGATACAGTAGGAAATCTTTTGATTGCCAAAATGTTGTGACAAATCAGGGTGATCAGAATCTTGAATACTACTAGACATGGCCTTTCTTGTGACTTTCCTCCTCCAAGGTGATCAGAGAATTAAATCTTGTTGGGAAACAGATCACAGAGAGAAAACCGAAATTCAAGATGGCTTTTAAATCTCACTTTGCCTTCTCCTTTGTAACAGTGTCCTGGCTTCCTGGGCTCTCTGCGGGCCCCGGGGGCCCTGAGGAGTTAAGGTGTAGACCTTCATTCCTTGCTTTTCAGCCCCAGAGGTTGGGTGTTCCCAAGGGAGGCTTCTCCCAAAGGCTGAAGAGTCTAGATTGTGTCTCATTTGTGCCTTTAGGCTGATTTACAAGATGCTAAAATCTGCCTCCAATTTGCTTCTTCATTAGTGAAATTCAAGTGGGAAAAGGACTGTGGTGCAAACTCCCCTTCCCTAGAGATTTGCCAGTTTGGGGAGGGAGAGGAGGAAAAAAAAGGGGAGAAGGGAAAAATGGGCAGAATGCTCTGAATTCTCAGAGCTCTGATCTCTGCAGAGGGGCCTGTTTATCTTTCTGAAAAATAGAGAGGTGTGCTGAGAGGGATGGGCTAGTAAAAAAATTCCAAAAACCAAGAAAAGCACCCAACACTTTACATTATACAGGTTTACTTGGTTTCTTTTTAAATATTTGTTTACTTTTCTATTACAGAAGTAATAGCTGCTCATAATGGAAAACTGGGGAAATATGAAAAAACACATCCAAAGAACACATGCCCAATCATAATGCTTAATATATCATGGGTTTTCTTTCCTGCTATGCATGAAGATTGTAATGTTTTATTAAATTATGTGATGTTTATAATTTTCTACTTCTTAATTATTTTATCAGAAGCATTTTACAGGTTAGGACATAGATTTGGTAAGTTACTTTATATGCTGAGTTCTAGAATTATGGTAGATATTTAGGTTTTAGTTGATATTTTGATATTATAGATGACACTTCAGTGAGTATCTTTGCTTTATCCTTGTTTTTTTCTTTAATGTGGAGTTGTTTCCCTAAGATAGATTACCAAAATCACAATGACTTGGGCAGAGCCTAGAAAGGACTTTGGGGCTCTGAGGACAGACGTGGAGGAGCCCATTTGTCCTGGCTGGAGGTGGACCCCACCACTTTAGGTAGTGATGGGGTTTGGGGCACATTCCCTTACTTTTCAGAGCCTCAGTTTTTTTCCTTTGTCAGGTGGGGGTAATAGTACCTACTGCACAGTAGGGCTGTTGTATTAATAGCACATATAAAATCCCCCCACCAAGCTTGACACACAGTAGTCACTAAATATATAGTAACTATTTTAAAAACAATTACAGCACTAAATAGCCTTATTACAGGATTTGTACCAATTTGCTCTGCCACTGGTAGTGGATGAAGTTACTTGTTTAGCCTCTCTAGCAACTGATAACCAAATCATTTCTTTTTAACATATGTTTTATAATTTAAGCGAAAATGCTACCTCAATATTGTTTTAATTTATATTTTTTATTATAGTGAGAATGAACAACTTTGTGTGTTATTGTAACCCAGATTGTTGTCTCTCTTATGAAATGCTTTTGGCTTTTCTTATTGGCATTTAGTGTTTTCTTATCAATTTGTGCGAATTGTTTATATAATACATCATTTAAACCTTTATCGTATTTGCTGTCATATGTCCTTTTATCTAGTATTATCTTCTTATATGAAACTTTGATTTTTTTGTATGTCACATACATATTTTTCATTTAGATGAGAAAGTGGTTGTAATCATGATCTCTTCATTATAAATTGTATAGATGAAAATTTCATTGGGTCTATAATATTTTTTGCAAATAATGACAGTATCATGTGTTCATTTCCAACCACTCTACCTCTCGTTTTTCATGTTTTATTAAATTTGCCTGAAACTCTAGAGCAGTGTTAAATAATCATGGGATTAGTGGGTATCATTTTAAAATGATTCCTGATTTTAATAGGAAGAGCTCCCGTGTTTCACCATTAAATGGAATATGAACCTTTTATTTCCAAAAATATTCTGTTTATTTTGTCAAGGACATGATCAATTAATTTTTAAAATTTTGAATTCTTACATATTTAGGAGCATAATTTTTCTCAGAATTATTATGTGGTTTTGTTATTTGGTCTTTTGTTGGATAGGATAATAGAGGTTTTCTACCATGACACATATATTTGTATGCTTGGAATTAGTGTATACCCACTATTTTTTGTTTTGTTCTTTTCAATCAACACTATTTTATATAGACTGCTTCCTACAACCTACATATGAACTTGTGTGTGTGGGTAAGGCAAAAAAGAAAGGATGTAAGAAAAATACACCAATATATTAAGAATGATTATCTTAAATTATGGGATTATAAATTATTTTCACTTTACTCCTGTGTATTTTCCAGTTTTTTTTTGGTAAACTTTGATATCCTACTGTTACCAGAAGAAAAACGTGTTACCTAAAAATGTCAATGCCATGCCAATTAATTATGGCTGAAATAAGATTTAGGAGGTCTACTTAGAGTAGGGAACGTCTGTTCATTATCTAGAGTCCAAATTATTTTGATATGAAGGGAACTGAAAAAATGGAGTTAATATTCTTTTTTAGAAAAGGTAATAACATGTTTTGTATTTTCTTTTTGAATAATGACAATATATGGTGACTACATTTTCCTTAACTAAAAATTTAGGACTTTTAGTCTGACAAATGATATTTTTCATGGTTTCTGACATCTTTTGAATCTGAAAAGCTCTAAAAGGAATTACAAATAATATTTAAATATATGTGTATCCCTTATCTAAAGGATTCCAATGGTATTAGCTCAGGATTGTTCCATAGCATCTGGGACCTGCCTGACCACACACAGGGTCACTAGATAGTTTGCTTTTGGAAACTTCATCTGTCCTTTTGGCCCCAGCGGGAGGCCAGAACCCAGACACCATCTTGTGGATATCTTTGCTCAGTCTGGGTCTACACACAGATATAGAAACATAAAAACATGTATTTATACATCAAGGCACAGAGAAACAACAATCACTGATTTGGGGCCTTAATTGCATCTTCTAGATGCCTGGAATAGTCCTTGTTTCTTCTGCTGTGGTCCACACTTTTTCTCTGAAATACGATTTTGATAATTTCAGAGCCCAGGAATTCTCTTCAGATTTGGCTTTTAACATATTGTGTACCTAAAGTAAGAAAGTCTCAACTGGCATTATGATGATTGAAAATTATATTTACATGTAAAACCATAATGTCTCCTTGCTTCTTTTTCTCTTCTTTTCTATAGCTTTGGGCCAGATTATGTTGTATGTGGATGGGATGAATGGAGTAATAAACCACAATGAAACCATTCAGTGGCTGTACACTCTCATTGGGTCAAAGGTAAGAGAAGGTTCTGGTTGAACATTTTATTCAGGGTGCATATCATACACCTTTCTTTCTGTTACCCTCTCTCAGATGGTTTTGCAGAAAGAAATCCCATTCAGTTTGGTTCCAGCCCTGTCACAGTACAAATGAGGACTCCTGTTTTATAGATTTTAGAACACACTCAAATTGTGAAGCGTTTATGACTCTTTAATACATTTTATGTTTCCTTCTTTCAAGTTTTATTCAAATGCTTTCAGCACCTCTGGTTTTCCATGTTTAATTTAAAAATTATACCGTAGATATAGTATCAATCTTACCTGCTGTATTTCATGTTCATATATGTTCAGTTACTTAAGTACATATTTATATGTTGTAGATATGTATATGCACATTCCTATATATAGATGAAAGAATTTGAGATTGCCTTTCAACTCTACCATCCATTATAAAAGTAACCAACATGTGTTAAAGACTTACCAGGCAACAGTCACCATTAGTAGATTGCCTTACAAGCATCTCTTTTAATCCACTTGAGACCACTATAGGGTAAATAACGTTATTCCCATTTTGTAGTTGGAGAAATAATGCTCAGTTAGGAGAATGTATTGCGTTTCATCCATGGATATTAGCATATCAGCCAAGCCTTGGCTGTGAGGCCCTCGCTGTGGAAGTGCTGTGCCAAGGAGGCAGATCGAGCCCATCATTTGAGGTGAAGCGGAAGCTGGGCGAGGCTCTGACATCGTTTTCTCTGGGTTCCCAGGTGGGGCCTTGAGGGACCTAGTTGGAGGGGGGATTTGAAAGAAGTAGGAAGAGGGGATCCAATCCTGAGCAGGTACAAATGAGCCTAAGCTGGAGTGTGGCCGGCTTTTGGGGTGAGGGTGGGGTGGGGCATCGTGGAGGAGATTCAAGTGACCGTAATGGGTAACAGCGTCAGGCAGAGGAGGGTTTAGAGGGCCTGGAGGGGGGATTTGAACCTGACTTAAGCAGGTCACAGAATCAACAAGCTCTCCGGGGGAGTCCCCACAGAGCATGTGGTCAGCCCCCATTATTTCCCATCCCTGAATTCACTGCACCCCACTTTGACAAGCCTGTCGATGCTACCATGCCCCAGTGCTGTGCTCTCCGCGATGAGTCACATCTTTTGGCCTCGCCTTGCGTTTTCTGCTTCCCAAGAACTCGGCTGTACTGCGGGAGTGCTCAGCCCTGATTTGACTTTGTGTCAAGAACAGAGCTACTTGGAGGCTGTGCTTGTCAGACTTCTAGAGTCCTGGTGAATGTGCCCTTGTGGAATGGGAGGACCTGTTATCTGCGAATGGCACTGGTAGGCGATACCCTTTGGGTCCCAGGTCCTTTGTTGACCCTTATAGCCCCCTCTCGATTTCCTTTTTCCTGGTATTCTTGATGACAGAATTTTTCCCTGTTTCATGATAGAAACAGCCATGGTTTCTCTCAGGAGACTTGAAAACTCTTCTCTTTCTTATTTTTTATTTGGCTTTGTTTTCTATGGAAAATGGAAATACTCTATTTACAGACTGCTGTAGGTGACCTTAGAAGCTGAGCGGAATGCTGGGCCCGCTTAGGTTGATCTCGCCAAGCTGAGGGAAGATTTATATCTCGTATCCTGTTTCAGTGTTTTATGTCTTTTCCTTCCTTCTGCTGGGAGCCCTCCCCAACCGTCATGTTCATTTGGAGCTGCTCCCTCCCCAAGCTCTCTGGATGGTCTCAGAGACCCCAAAAGCTAGGGAGATGGGAGGAGATTTTGCAATAAAAACAGACTTTTGGTACATGTCACGGCTGAATCAGTAAATCTTTATAGCTTTATTATGGTCATCACAAAACACCAACAGCCAGCCTTATTTCTAAAAGGAAGTAAGACCTCACGTGCTTACAGTAGGGAAAGCGACAGCCTTTTAGCTCATTACAAGTGAGGACAAATTCTGGGTGGTGGGATGGGAGGCAGAGGAGAAAACACAGCGAGGAAAGACACAAAGAAGAGGAGAGGGAGTTGGGAAAAGATAAGAGGAAAGACCACAGGGGAGGAAAAGAAAAAGAGGAGATGAGCAAAAGGAAACAGCCTTCACAGAAATGCATCTGTCTGCCCAGTAGATGGGAAGAAGACTGAGCCATTGGTGTTGCAACAGCATTCTTTCGATTTTTCTTTGAAATCATCCTGTAAGGAAAACAACCAACCATAAAGGAACGCACTGGAAAGTCCTTATTGCATTTCTAAATATCATGGAGAAATCACCAAATTAAAAGCCCTCAAGAATGAGAGTGTAGGATTCTGCTCCCCCAGCCTCTTTTTCCTATGTCGCACATGCAGTGTTCGGGACCCTGGGTAACTAACTGTTCTCCCGGCCACTGTCTGAGGTGGAGTGTTTGCTTCCCCACAAGCCTCTAGGGGCATCAGCACCAGATCAGCGCTGGGTTGTTTTTTTGTTTTGTTTTTTTCTATCTTTCATTTTCCCAAAGGACAGTCCTTAGTAGTCTTGGGATCCTATGTTCAACCTTGGGCTGGTCAGCACGAAAACAAGAAAATAGAGACACAGGTCAGCCTAAGCCTTGGAGTTTACAGTGTTGTTAAAGAGCAGACTATGGGTGAAGCCAACATCTGACATGGTGATGTCAGTTGAAGGCCTCCCGTGGCCCTGCTGGCCATGCTCAGTTCCAGGTGAATGGCCAAGAGTCAACAACAGCAGCAGCCCCAAGTTTGTTTTCAGTGTAGTTCAAATGAGATCACCAACTATTTACAAAACCAATAAGGTGTCCGCTGACAATCCCCCGCACCCCATGTCTGCCTAGCGAGGAATCTGCAAGAAGAATGGATGCACCAAAATAAACTCACAGGTTTCGAGAAGGAAGCTTTAGTTCCTGCCTTAAACACACAAATTGGGTAACACGGCCACAAGAGGCTTTCCTAGTTCAAATGAAATGAAGAAGTCAGGATAGCCCGGGGTCCTTAGGGCTTTCTTTTGACTGAGAGTCCGATTTCTTAGAACCCGAAAGGTTTACCTTGAGGTCCAGTGGTTTTTACCTTAAATGGGCACAGAGTGATAATGAAATCCTGGGTTAGAGAAACCTTGTCATTCTGTCTTCATAATTCTTCATATTTGCTTCCATGAAAGGCAACAAGATGTGATTTTGCAGCCTGCCAGAGGGTCATTATGCAATGCATATTTTGCAGATATTTGAGACTCAGAGCCAGAGGAGAAAATGATTTTGCAGCCAAATAATTACTTTTTAAAAGAAAGAAAAAAGTGTTTTCAATAAAGTGTTTTATTCTATTTACAAAAGTCCATCTTTAAACTCCCCAGTCAGAGGTAAGAAGCAGAGGCCCACCACATGACTTCTCACTCGGTATGGAATTTTTTTCTCTTCATACATCTGGAAGTCTAATTAATTGGGGTAAGATGATTCAGCTTATACAACTTAGCCTTTTGTCACCCTAAGAGTGCGCCTGTCTCTCTGTATCTGTATGAACCCCCCTCTGGCCCATGCGGGAGACCCTAGGGACCGCCCAACTCCTGTGGGTTCCCCAAGGATGCCTCCTGATGTGCTCATGGAATCTGTCCTCCTGTCCACCCTGGCTTGCCCTGATCTCTCTAGTTTTCTGTCAGCCCCATTTATTCTCATTCTTCCAGCTGTGCACCAGGTTGCTGATCACAGATCTCTATGTATCCTTTGTACTTTTGTGAGGTTGAGCATGCTTCTTTACTCCCCCTTAGCCTAGCTACCCAACCTGCACTGAGTGGAGCCCTGGCCACAGCCCCCGTTTCACACACATACGCTCTCTCACACATATTACAGAGTCTCTCTCTCTCTCTCTCTCTCTCTCTCTCTCTCTCTCTCTCTCTCTCTCTCTCTCTCTCACACACACACACACACACACACACACACACACTGGAGGGAGAGAAAGTGACAGGAATGAGAAGCTGGGGGACTAGTGCAGTATCAAAGCTGTGAGGTGATGAGCCCCGGTCAAGAGTTGCAGTGGAAACAGAGAATAATGGAAATATGGAGACATTTTGAGGAATAGCTTCCTAGGATTGTGTTTCTGGATGTGGAAAAGTAAACAACAAACAGGAGTCAAAGATGGGGTCACAGTTTGGAATCTGGGCAGCTAGGAATACAGCAATGCTTCTGGCAGGAGGAGAGATGTTGGAAATTGGGGTCTGTTGGCGGGAGAGCTTTTATATTCTGGTTTTGAGATGAAGATAATGTCCCAAGGCAGAGCAAAGCAGGTGTGTCCAAGGTGCCAGGTGTTCCAGGAAGTGCTGGCTGGAGGAGGAGAGGAGATTGGTGAGCCCTTAGGGCTCGGAGTCATCGGCATGTCCGCAGTGTGAGCTGCTAGATGACCCACCTGTGGATGAGAACTGAAATGCTTTTTGAGTTCCCTAACATAAAATCACAGAACCGTAGTCTTGAAGAGGTGGCATAGTCTTGTTAAAGATGTTCCTCACCTTCCCCAGCCACATTCCTGATACTTCTAACAGCCATTGCTGGACACCAGAATCGGTGGCAAGCCTTCCCTATCGGGACCCACATTTACCTCTCTGCCATTAACCAAACGCTCTGCCCTGCTCTCTGGAGCAGCATACACTCACTTCCCCATAGAAGCTTACTGAGTTTTTAAGGCAAGTTAGGTCATCCTGTCCAAGCTATACGTGATGGTTTCCACAGATACTCCTTGGGGACATAATATACAATTCTTCATCAATAGGCGACTAGCTTTTCTGTCCATCCAGTACAAAGACTGGTAACATGGTAGCCTCCTGGGATACAGCATCTTTCACAAATCCCACCTCTGGTTCATGAGGCTTTTCAGCAGCAGCTCTGGGTGCTGGCTCAAATCACACTGATAATTCACTAAACCTCCCAGGCTTGTTTTTACACATCCATCTTTGCCAGTTTCTTCCAGTCTACACCTAAAGGCAGGGTTTTGCATTTTTTCTGATCAATTACAGGTCAGAGTTCCAACCTCAAGATAATTATGAATTTTGCTTTGGCATTCATCA